TTGACTGCTTGTAAACAGACTACTACTGGCCTGCGATGAGTTGGTGTCTGAATGAATACAATAATAAATTTTATTAAAAATAAATTTTACATAAAATTACTGATGAATGACCGCTATATACAGTATATATATATATATAGTTAAGACATACTTGAAGAGATAGTCGATGTCTGTGTGCCGACACCAGTGGACGACTCGTTTGATGATGACTGTTGACTACTATTATCGGTTGCACCGATGATCTTATTAGACGCACCAAATAAACTACCGATGCTGCTGCTGTTGTCACTGGTCAACGTAGAGACCGGCTTAAACGCCGAACCGGTCGACTTCAATGTAGTAGCGGAAGTAGCGGCAAATGGCTTGAAGCCACCGCTTGAGGCCGTAGTAGTAGACGTTTCGGAAGCGGCAATTTGAGTGGCGGCGGGTTTTACCGTAGTAGACGATTCGGAAGCGGAAATTTTAGGGGTGACAATAGTGGCGGCTGCGACGGCGGCGGGTTTTACTGTAGTAGTAATAGTTACCGAATCGGCCGATTCGGTCTCGATTTTGCGATGATGTTCAATGTATTCGCGACATACGATAGTCAGGTCGTACTTAAAGGATTGCGTTAAGTAATTATTGATGTGTTTTATGAACGATTTGTTTAGTTTTTCCAGTTTCTGGTAATAGACAACGTCTTCTTCGTCCTCATTATTATCTTCATTGCCGTCATCGTTGGCCTTCAAATCATTGGCCACGGGTTTGTTAGTCTTTATGGTATCGTTTAGTTTTGATCGGCCGTTCGTATAACTGGCCGCCGATAATGATGATGACGACGACGACGACGACGGCGCCGACTGTTGTAATGGTGTACTAATGGTTAGACTGGTTGTGGTTGGAATAGTAGCGGTGGTCATCAACACCGGCGGCGCCGGTGACGGCTGGCTCTTATCACTGGTTGTAACGGTAGCCGCAAAAGACTTAAACGCGTCAAACTTTGCCGTCGCCGCGGGTGCTGTTGTGCCGCTGCCGAGACCTGTATTCGGGTTAAGAGAGAGAGAGAGAGAGTGAAATATTTAACTAAAACAGTTGGCCAACCAATCGGCTAATCAAACAAACGGCTATACCTTTGAAACCGCCAAACGCTTTGAACGCCGGCGAAGGCGTGCTATCGTTATCGTCGGCGGCCGCTGTCGATGATGACGACGACGACGTGTTTGTACTGTCCGTATTGTCCACACGTCGGCGAGCTCTGGCCATACGTCGGTTGCTGAGTATGTCTTGGGCGGCCACTTGCGGTCCGCCGTCGGGTATCACGTAGTCGTCTTCCTGGTCGTAGTTATCCATTGTTAGCTGTTTTTCGGCTATTCGTTTGGCCATTTTTTGTCGCGGGTGTGTGATGTGTCCACAAAAAAAAATTATAGGTTAGTAGTAGTTATCGGGTTTGTAGTGTGTGTGTGTGTCTGTCCGCCGATAAAGTGGCCAAAAAATTTTTTTGTTGGCTATTATTGTTGTTGTTGTTGTCGTTGCTATCGATGGCTAATAAATATAATAATAATAATAATAATAATAATAATAAACATGTGATTCATTTCAAACAAACAAAATGTATTAATATTTTTAAAATATACTGTATATTAATGGCGTCGATCTCTACTCTTACTATAAATGCTATTATAGAGGCGCGAACTTTACATTAGATAGCGGTTTGGTTTAATAAAAAAAAAATCATTTAAATTACATATATTTTTATAAAAAAAAATAAAAATAAAACTATTTATTTGTTTTCTATTGATTAGTTTATTATTTTCTATAAAAAAAAATCAAATAAATTGTTTTGCTTAATAAAAATTTTAACGGTTTGGCGCGATTTTTTCAAAAAAATTTTTTTTATTTAAATTTAGTATTAATTTTTTTTTTGTAAAATAAAATCCGATTCGGTTATTGTAAAACTTGTAGATTTTGATCTCTAGTTTAGTTTGAAATGTGTGTGTGTGTGTGTTAGTCGATGAAGTAGAGGTCGATAAATTATTTATTTATTAAATACAGTTATTGTTTTATATTAAATAATTTTGATTTAATTTAATAATTATTAATATATATATATATATATATATATATAAAATACAATTTATTACTTAATTTATTAAGTTTTATAAATTGAATATAAATTTATATATTTTTATTTATTTAATATATTATAAATAATTTATTACTAATTTAATATAATTGGCAGTATATTTAAAAATTTAAAATAAATTACAATTTAGTTTTGTATTTAAAAATATTAAGAGTAATAAATAATAATAATTAGAAAAATAAAATAAAAATTATAGATTATATACTGTACCTAATATAGCATAAAWWTTTTTTACTATAAATAGTTATGTATTTTATCATAAAATATTTATATTTCATTATAACTATGCAATAGTTTAAGTGATTAGATATTAATATAATATATCCTAGTATTACAYATATATATATATATATATATATATATATATATATTGTATTTTTCAAAATTAATATTATTATCATAATGTCATTGAAAAATAATATCAAAAAAATAGTGAGTGAAAATAAAATGACATAAAAATATTTTTGTTTTTAAACATTATTTTTTAAAAAAATAAATAAATATATATACTGTATATATATATTTCAAGTTTAGTGTTTGTAAATATAAAAGTTAAAACTATAAAAATATTTATTTTATTTTATTTTCTTGACACAATGTTTATATGTTTTTTTAAAAATAAAAAATTTGTTGTTATTATTAAAGTGTTCAAGTTGATTTCAAAGTTAAATGTTTTATTTATATTATTATTATTTACTAAAATTTTACTAAAATATTTTATAACTAATTTTCACCAATGGCATTTTCATGTTTTAACGCTTTTATGGTTAGTTAATAATTTTTTTTAAATACCTATTATATAAAGTTATTATTATTAATAATTAATTAATAATATTATAATTAATTAATTAATATTTTGTATATACAAAAAAAATATTGACATTTATTTGTGTATTTTATTTATTTGATTTTTTTCGTAATACAGAATCTAAGCCACACTTTGAATACGGAATCGGTATTAACGGTCACACAATGTGTTCTAATGGATACAGAATCGACACTTATTTACCTACCATTCCTCATATGGTTGATCCTAACCAAGTATACTATGGTTGACAATAGTAGTAATAGTAGTAGTAGTAGTGCCAAAACATTATCGTCCAGTAGATTACAATTATTGACAACTGTATGTATAAAATCAATAAATATTAATAGTATTTTGATTTTTATTAATATTAAAAACTAATTTATTTATTTAATTAAATTTAATTTAGTTTTTAACAACTATATTATTGACAATTTCATTAAATGATACAATTGATGCAATAGATAGACATTATTTACAACAGCAACAATTAATTAGCATGAACAATTTTGTTTTATTGCTAACCTATCTAGTCAAAACGTTAACTTATGTAAGTTAATTGTAATTTATTTTTTTAAAAATTATAATTAAATTTATAATTAATTTTTTTTTAAATTTAGATATACTTAATATTAGTGCAAAATTCAAATAATAATAATTTTGCTAAAAATAATATTACAATTATACGATTATTTTGGATCAGTTTATTTATACAAACTATTTACAATGTGTCAATAAGCCAGGTAGGTATTTTTTTWAAAAAAAATTCATCTAGATAAATTAATTAATACTTTTATTTTATTTTATTTTATATAATAATTTTTTAATACTATTTTTCCACCCATTTATTACGTGTTTTTTTGTTGGTTATCTTTAATTAATTAATTAATTATTTTTTTTTGCTTATATCATTATCAATAAAATTAAATAATTAATTAATAATTTTATGTATTATAATGTATATAAGTTTTTTTTTATTTTAATTACCGATAACATAGGTGATAAAAAATTTGCATTTTATATTAATTGGCTCACAATTGTTGTTATCATTGTTTACGGGACCAACTAGACCAATTACCAATGATGATGATGATGATGATAATATTAATAAAGATATCGAGGTTTTTTTTGATTAATTAATTAGTTAATAATTATTATTAATTATAATAATAGTTATAATAATTATTTTATTTTAATATATATATTAATTACCGTAAATAGACTAAAGTGTGTCCAAAATATCGGGCATCGTTGTGGTCGAAGCTGACCTACGGCTGGTTTACGCCGATGATAATGAAAGGCTATCGACGCGATCTGACCATCGACGACATGTGGTCGCTGGACCGGTCGCGTCAGTCGGCCGTAGCKGTCAAACGTCTGGAACAACATTGGAGATCATCGACGACGACGACGGCGGCCGACGACGACCACCATTACAACCACAATCATCGGTCACATCCGCGGAAATCGCAAACACGCGAAAAGACGGCCAACTTTTTCGTAGCCATATTGAGAACATTTTGGCCACAATTRGCGGCCAACGCATTGCTGAGTCTGGCCATCACTTTGTTTGGCTTTTCCGATACCTTATTATTGGACCGTTTTATTACGTTTATGACGCCCAACAATCCGGAACCGCTTGTCAATGGCTTTATCTATGCCTTATTGATGTTTATGGCACCGGTAGTCGAAACTATTGTCGAAAAACAATACTATCACTGGAGTTCAGCCATACAAATGAATATCATGTCTGCATTGAAATCCATAATCTTTCAAAAGGTATGGTTCAAAACAGCTAATCTCTAAAACACCAAAAATACCGGTAATTTTGTTTGTTTTTTGGTGGTATGTGTACAGTCATTGAGACTGTCGAGCACCGGTAGACGTGACTATTCATCGGCTGAGATAATAAACCTAATATCTAACGATGTCTGGCGTGTCGAGTCGTTTATCTATCAGATTATATCAACACTGACCAGTGTTGTCCAGTTTTCCCTATCGCTGTGGATACTGTGGGGCCGGTTGGGCGTTGCATCACTGGCCGGCCTAACGTTTAGCGTACTACTGGTACCGGTAAACTGGTGGCTATCGAGGGACGACAACCGACTCTGGGAGTTGGGCTACGAGTGTCGGACTAAGCGTATCAAAAAACTTAACGAATTGATTACAAATATCCGATTTTTGAAAGTAAACGCCTGGGAACCGGCATTCAGGGATCAAGTGTTTCGGTTACGTAAGCAGGAAATGGATGCTAATATTTCGGCCAATAGACGTAGCAATTGGCGATCGTTATACTATAGTATATCGTATTTTATGGTAATTATAATATAATAATAATTTTAGTTAATATTATAATTTTAGTTAATATATTAATTTTAGTTAATATAATAATTTTAGTTAATATACTAATTTTAGCTAATATACTAATTTTAGTTAATATAATAATTTTACTTAATATACTAATTAAAATAATATAATAATTAAGTTAATATAATAATTTTAGTTAATATATTATATTAAGTTAATATACTAATTAAGTTAATATACTAATTAAGTTAATATACTAATTAAGTTAATATATTAATTTTAGTTAATATACTAATTAAGTTAATATAATAATTAAGTTAATATAATAATAATGTTATATTTATTTCAWTTCAATTATTATTATTATTATTAATTTTTTTKATTTAAGGAAAATGCGATAACATTTTTTGCATTCATATACATATCCGATGACAATATATTAGATCCAAATAAAGTGTTTGTCTCGCTATCATTGATGGGAAAATTAAGTACTATTTTGTTTGTTTTTTTTRAAAAATAATAATTAATATTAATTAATATATTTAAAAAATTGTYTAAAAACTAAATAATAATAAATTATTATTATTACCAAAACAAACAAACAAAAAAAACTTATAGAAATTGGATTCATAACTAGTAGTATCAATAGTACTAAAGAGGTATTAATATTATTAAAAAAATATTTCAATTATAAAATTAAATAGTTTTTTTTTAAAAAAAAAATTAGTTTTTAATATATTATCGTAAATTGAAAAAATATTTCGACGCCAACGAAATCAACGACCAGTCTATTGGTCACGACATCATCGACGATAAGATAGCGATTTCGATGAAAAACGTGTCGTTCAGTTGGGACCCGATATCTACTACTACTACTACTACTACTACTACTAATAAAACGATACTCAGAAACCTGACGCTCAGTTTACGCTCGGGTAGTTTGGTAGCCGTTGTCGGACAGGTAGGTAGCGGAAAGTCGTCACTGTTGTCGGCACTGTTGGGCGAAATGGACAAATCAATGGATGGCTTAGTGAACGTCAGCGGCCGAACCGCTTATGTATCTCAGGAGCCGTGGATACAGAATACGACAATCAAACAGAATATTCTGTTTACGAAACGATTTAATAAACTATACTATAATAAAGTCGTGGATTCGTGTGCTCTTCGACCGGATCTCCAGATTCTCGGGGCCGGAGATCTGACCGAAATCGGCGAAAAAGGTATCAATTTATCGGGTGGTCAGAAACAGCGGGTATCGTTGGCGAGAGCTGTCTATTCCGATGCAGACATCTATCTATTGGACGATCCTTTAAGGTATTACTAACCAATAATTACTGAAATATACTGTATATTATTTTTTTTTTTTTTTTTGGTGACAATACCAGTGCTGTCGACGCACACGTAGGTCGTCATCTGTTTGACCATATCATTGGACCGAAAGGTCTTCTACGGCATAAAACTCGTGTTTTAGTGACACACAAGGCATCGATTTTGCCCGAAGTCGACCAAATTGTTGTCATGAAAAACGGTGCGATCAGCGAATTGGGAACTTTCGACGATCTGATGTCACGGGACGGCGATTTTGCCCAATTTATTGCCGAATTTGTCATGAATGAGGTCATACCGACGGAAGACAACGGAACAGACATCATAGATGAGAACAAGGAGTCTGAAATGCTGTCCAAACTACGGGCATCGGCCAAACCAATCATTGAACGCCAGGAGTCGGTTATGTCTAACGACAGTAGCGGCGGCGGCGGCGGCAGCGGTTGTTTTGTCCGACAGCGAAGTACGGCGGCGGCGGCTACTATATCGCGTAGTCAGTCGTTGGTCAGCGATTCGGTTATAACTGACGATGCGGACGATGACAATAGCGATGATGACACTGATTATAGTGAATCCGATGGCAAACTGATTGCCGACGAAAAATTGGAAACCGGTTCAGTCAAATGGTCGGTCTATCGGCGCTACTTTCAAATGTTAAAACTAGACTATCTGTCCCTTTGTATTGTCAGCTACTTAATCGCCTATTCGGCCCGTATCGGCTCCGACCTGTGGCTGAGTAACTGGTCTAACGATGCATTGGACGCCGAACGGGCTGCCGATAAACAGCTGCGTAACCGACGTCTTACTGTTTATACGGCACTCGGTTTTGCCGATCCCTTGTTTATGATGTTTGCCGAGATATTGGTCCTCAAAGTGTGCTTCAATGTTGGCCTAGAGATACACAATCAGATGGTTGAGCGTATGATTATGGCTCCCATGTCCTACTTTGGTAAGTCATATACAGTATATTATTAGTATATAAAGTATATACCGATTGTAACAATCAGTTGTTGTCCTAAACAGACACTACACCCGTCGGCCGAATACTGGACCGGTTCTCGAAGGACATGAACACTATTGACAATGCAATGTTCTATCATTTATGGTTTACCCTAATGAGACTGTTCTCACTATTGAAATACCTGTCCATTTTGTCCATCGAAACACCACTGATACTGTTGGCCATCGGCCCGGTAGCCATTGTCTATACCTATGCTCAGCGTATATACATTGCGGCGTTGCGTCAACTGAAACGTCTAAAATCGTCGGCCAGTTCGCCGATAACCTCCTATTTTGTCGAGTCGTACAACGGTACCAGTACTTTGCGAGCCTACGGAGCTACCGATTATTCCCTAGGCGAAAGCTATCGGCGAATGGACACCAATAACAGTATGTCCGATATATCCGAATCGGCCCGCTATTGGATAGACATTCGGGTGAACGCCCTGAGCGCTACAATTGTGTTTTTGGTGTCCACAATGAGCGTCCTGTTGCGCGGTTCAGTGGCACCCGGACTGACCGCACTGGCCATCCAGAGTGCACAGTATATTACGAATGTTTTCCACTATTTTCTACGCGGACTAACCGACACCGAGACCGATATGGTTACCTTCGAGAAGTGCCTGGAGTTTACCAACAGTCCCATTGAGGTAGTTGTCTGCATATATATACTGTAATTGCGACCAAATTATTATATTTTTTTCAGGCCGACTGGTCAACTGGTAGTGTACAAGTGCCTAATGATTGGCCASAAAAAGGTTGTATCCGATTTGAAAACTATAGCACCCGTTATAGGGATGGTTTGGATTTAGTACTCAAAGATCTATCGTTTGAGATCCGAGGCGGCGAAAAGGTGGCCATTGTTGGCCGAACCGGTGCCGGAAAGTCGTCGCTAGTGTCGGCATTGTTTCGGGTTATTGAACCCATTTCGGGTACCTTTTATATCGACGGCATTGATTGCACACAAATTGGTTTACACGAGTTGAGGTCACGGCTGACGGTTATATCGCAGGACTCGTATCTATTCAGCGGTAGTTTGCGCTACAATTTGGATCCATTGGATCAGTATTCTGATGATGAACTCTGGTCTGCATTAGAGTCGACACATTTACGGACATTTGTCCAGTCACTTGAATCGGGTCTCAAACATGAAATTGCCGAAAACGGCGAAAATCTTAGTGCCGGCCAAAAACAGTTGATTTGTTTGGCCAGAGCTGTACTGCGGCGCACAAAGATTGTGGTGTTGGACGAGGCGACGGCCTGTATGTCACTTAAAAAAAGCTAATTGTTTTATTTGTATTAAATTGTTTGCATATTTTTTGGTTATCATTAAAAGCCATTGATATGGAAACGGATGACTGGATTCAGAGGACATTGCGATCGGAGTTCAAGTGGTCGACAATCGTAACAATTGCTCACCGATTGAACACAATCATAGACTACGACAGAGTGTTTGTAATGGATGGGGGAGTAGTGGTCGAGTCGGGACATCCCATGAAACTCCTAAACCGTACGGACAGTCGATTTTATTCAATGGCTAAACAACAAAATCTTATTAAAAAATAGTTTTTTTTTTTGTTTTGTTTTGTTTGTTTGAATAAAAATATCAGTTTATATGTTAGTATTTTATAGGAATTATTTGATTAATTTTATAATAATATTGTAATTAATGGCAATCAATATATATTTAAATTTTATTTACAATATATTTATTAATTTAATATTTAATATTATTATATTTAATATATATTATTACTAAAAAAAAAACTATTGTATGTATATATTTTTTCAATTATCGGATATAATACAGTACAGTATTATTATTATTATATATATATTTATAAATTTCATATTACTGATATAAGCAGCACATGTAGTTTAGATGTTACTAATCTACCGGTGCTGCAAAATAATAATTTTTTAAAAAAAAAAACACCTATAAAACATATATCAATTTTGATTAAAATTTGTTATTGTTKTTATTGATAAATTTATTTAGTCATAACTACCATATCTATTATCTATTAGTTACAACAACAAAAAAATACTAATTGACTAAAAATTGAAATATCGTATATAATTGTATAAATTCACTGCTAAGTTATTACTATAATAAAAATAAAAATAACAATATTATAGATTAAAAAAAATTTTATAAAAATAAAATACAAAGTTTTATTTTTCAGTGAATTTGTTTAAAATTAAGTAAAATTTAGTGTAATAATTATTAATAAATTATAAATAAATATATTAATAAATAAACTTATGTTTACTTAATATCTAATAATTTATTTTCATTAAAGTTTACTATAAATAAGTGAAATAAAAAAACTTTATTTTTTATATAATTATATACATAATGTCATAAATATTTTAATTTTTAAAAATATTACTATTTTTTATTAATATTATTATATAGTTTATAAAAAAAATTAATATTTTGATTTGTGATTTATTAATATATTTTTAAAAAATAACTATTTACTAATTAGTGTTTTTAATATATTAATTTAATACTAAAAAAATGATTAATTTAAGCATGATAAATTATCTATTGGTATGTTTAATATTTTTTAATTAATCTAAATTAATTTGATATTTTAATTAAATTATTTTTTTTTTTTGATAAAATATATAGTTAGACTACATGGAGCACATCGTATACATACCGTTCCTCGTAATTATAGTTAGGATATTAAGATCATTACATAAGAGGCCAGTTATCTATAAACCAAAATCCCATTCAATTTGGCGGACATACATAACATACACACAAATTGTAATTAATATATTTTTTAACAATAATAAATAAATTGTTTTTTTTTACTTAACTAAGTTATTACAGTATTATTACTATTATAATAATAATATTATTTATTTTACATATTTATACATAGATATTAATAACAATATTATTGATCATACAAATTGATAATCTATTAGATAATCTAGCTGGCTACAATTTTGCAAACATAATTTTATCATTGACAAAATTATTAACATATGTAATGTATAAAAATTATTATTATTTTGATTATAAGTTTATATTTGTCTGTCTATAATTTATTTGTGCTAGATTATTTTAACAATTATTATAATATCATCCAAACATTATTGTTTAAAAATTATATTTAATTTTTGGCTATCAATAATGATTGTACAATTTACAAATTACGTAATAGTAAGTTTATTTTTTAATAAAAAAATAAAAAAATATATAAAACTTTTAAAAAATTAAAGTTTATAAAATTGTATATTTTTTTTACTAAAATTTATTTTTTTTAAGATACACAAAATGGATTCAATTTATTTGAAAATAAACATGATCAATTACACTATTGGTATAATACAATTGATTTTAGCTAGTATATCGATGCTAATACTAGATGATACCAACAAACTAAAATATGCTAGGTTAAATGATAATAAAATATCTTAGGTAATATAATTTATTATTTAAAAAAAAAACTTGTATTTAATAAAAAATAATAATTTAACTAAAAATTTTCAAATAATGTAATAAAAAATTAGTATTTTTTATTTTTTATAATGTTTTAAATAAAAATTATATTAAATTGTTTTTAATCATTAAAGCCATTGATATATGGAAACGGATGACTGGATTCAGCTGACAGTCATAACAATTGTTTACCGATTGAACACAATTATAGACTACGACTATTAGTCGGGATGGGATGGGAGGGGAGTTGTGGTCGAGTCGGGACATCCCATAAAAACTTATAAAAAAAACAAACTGACAGTCAATTTCATGAGTTGACTAAACAATAAACAAAAAAATTTAATAAAAATTTCTCTATTATTTTAATAATATTATTATTCTGTATAATAATATTTGGATTTATTTTTTTGAAACAGTATTTATACTATAATATTAATTATTTATTAATATATATATTTTTGTTATATTTTAATATTTTTTTAGTGAATAATTTTCTTAAGATACCATAATTTATTAGTAATTAAATTGCTTTACAAGTTATATTGCAATCAATCAGTAGATAATTTAATAAATATTTGAATATATATATATATATATATATTTAAATTACTTTAATTTAACTTCTAATGCTATATATATATATACAGTATATTATATAATAATATAAATTATAATAATTATAATAATATATGAATATAATAGCAATAAATATCAATATAATTACTAAATATTTTAATTAAATATATTATAAGTTAGAAAAATAGTTTTATTAGAAAATAATGCATTTTAAAACAAGATACCTAACTATTGTATTATAAAATAATATTTGTATCACATTTAACTGTAATATGTATATATATATATACAGTATAAATATATATACAATATTGTAAATAAGTTTAAGTTATTACAACAAATTAATTTAAAAAAAATAATTATGTAATATCTCATAAATATAGAAATGATAAGAAAAATAATTGCTAGGTTACATTTAATTATATTATTTACAAAATGATATTATTATATAAATATATATACWATATATAAATTATTTGTTTTATTAGTATTATTTATTATCAGTACTACTATTATTGTTTATATATTGTATATATTTTTTTGTTGTTGAACAACAATAACATTTATATTGTACATGCTATATATATATAAAAAAAAATTTAATTAATTTATTTATTTACAATTAAAATATTTTTAATAATAACAACAACAAAAACAAGTGATGGATAGTAACCCTACTACTACTACTACTACTAATAATAATAATAATTTTGATAATAATAACGGCAATTGTTTGAGCTGCAAAAAATGGTCAATAATATCATTATCTATAATCGGTTTTATGGCCACTGTTATTACAATTATTGTCACTAGTAGGGCACGGTTAGATGAATTGGACAGCCATGATGATAAGGAACGGGTTAAGGTTTATAAAAAAATATTATAAACTAAACTATCTATATCTATATATATATATATATATATATAAATAAAATAATAATATATATTTTTTAAAAAAACTAAACCTTGTATATCATTATTATTATTATATAAATTTGTTTATAGAGTGAAGTAGCTATCATAGTAACAATGGGCACAATATCGGCCATTATCAGCACATGTGGCGTATTTGTGGTCATCCGTGAGCACTACTACCTGACCCTTGTATACACCCTAATCATTGTAGTCGATGTGTTCAACATGTTGGGCGCCTCCATCAAAGGTCATCCAGCTTTCTGGGGTGTCGTAGCCTTGAACACACTGATAGCTTATTTAGCGTACGAGTATAGTCGTGCTATCAGACARCGTAACCGCTACCGGCTGTCCATCGATACGGCCAATGTGGCCACTGAGCAAACTGATGTGACAAATATTGGGTATCCGGCACCGGGTTATCCTGAGTTTGCGTCCCAACACCCGGCCAACCAGCTACTAATCAATCATGTTGTCAATCCAGCTTATGTCGATACTGGTGTATACCATGATGATTCAGTACCATTACGTCATCAAACTACCGGTGCTTCATCATCAGGTTATGGTGCCATATAACATATATCAGCAGTGTGTGTGTGTGTGTGTGTGTGTGTATGCGATGATTATATGCTAATGTTTTAACAAAACCAAAACTATTATTTGTATTTATTTTGTATTTATTAAAATATTTCAAAAAAAACTGTTATATAATATACAGCTTATCTATATATTGTGTGTGTGTGTGTGTGTGTGTGTATGTATGTGTATTTTATTTGATTAAAATTTAATTTATAATTTATTTTTTTTATATAAAAAATTATTATTAACTATAAAATTTTAAAATCTAGAAATCTACGATAAATTAGACACAATTTACAATACACTAAATAAACATTAAAAATTAAATTTGAATTTATACTTTTGGTAATAGATATTCAAATGTTTTAATTGAAAATATTTAGTTAATTATTATATATTGTAATTATCATTGAGTTTTTATACTGCATATAAAATCATCTAAATTATCTAAATGTTTAATTAGATTATTTAAATTAAACAAAAACATTAAAATATAATTTCATTTAATTAAAAATTAATTATAAATGTTTCTAGTTAATATAATATTATAAAATAAATTATATTTTAAATAAATTATATTTTCCTCTATTGTTCAAGGTTATATATAGAAATTTTATTTTAAAAAAATTGTAGAAAAATTTGTTTTAATATTTTTTTTATATTATAATAAATTATTAATAAATGTTTTTATTTGTTTTTTRTTATTGATGTGTATGTTAAGCATGTAATATAAATTAAATTTTAATAATTTAATTAATTATAAAATTGTAATATATGTGTACTTTATAGTAATAGTAGTAKTATTATTATATACTGTATATAATATAACAACAATTATAGTTATATAGATATTTTAAATTACTAGTTTTTTGAAAAGCAATGTTTATTRATATAATTATTTTTTATTAAAAATGTAATCAAAATAATATTGTTTATGTAATTGTTTTAATTTATTTAACTTATTATAAAAACCAAAAATAAAAACAATTTTAATTATAAATTTTTAATTTGATGTTAAATAATTTTACTAAAACATTAAATTTAAAAAAATTCTATTAAGTTATTTGATAGCAAATTATAAATTTGTATAAAATTAATATWAATAAAAAAAATATAAGTATTTTTTCAATGTCATATTTTAATATARATGTTTATAATGTATAATATTTGTATATATATACTATATATTGATATAATAAAATTAAATAAAAAAAAATTCAAATATAATGAAATAATACACTGTATATACATTAAATACCTCTACTATTGTAAATACATTTATATTGTTTAATACTGTATAATATATATTTGAATTATATTGTATTGCAGTAATAATTTAATGTAAGAGAAGTTATTATTAATATTTTTTAAAAAAAAATATCATAAAACTATTTATTAATGTTTGAAATAAAAAATTTTAAGTTTATGATATGATAGTTGATTTCAATACTATTGTAACATAAGTTAATTAATAATTTTATTAGAATTTTCTAATAAAATTGCCTAAAAAAACTCTAGAAAATTTCTCAAAAAAAATGTTTAAAAATTTGTATTAATATAGATTATTAAAAATAGTTATTTATAATTGAATTATCAAAAATATTGATACAAGATAATAAATGTATATTAAACAAAAATTAACATGGTAGTTTGAGAAAATTTATAGTAATTTCTCATTTATTAAGTATTTTCACTATTTATTAATTTAGAAATAGTTTTTAAAATTAAAGTATCAAACATTATAATATAAAATTGAAATATGATTTTTTAAAATTTGAAACCAATATTATAAACTATTATTCAGTATTAATTAAAAACTATTTTTATATAAATTTGTTAATAAATATATTTTATCATTTAATAGTAACTTATATTTAAGATAAAAAATTTATTATTTTTTGTTAATTATAATTT